ATGTGAAATCACAGAAATATACATGATTTTGTGCACCCATGCCGTCCTGTAGCAGTACTTCTGCTATAGGGCAGATGGGAAGTGGTTAAAGCACTGCATCGAGTGGTGGGACAAGACAGCTGATGAAGGAGCCAACTGTAAACACTAGGAAAATTGTGTAGCAAATGAATTTCTTATGTGCAGTACATAAAAAGAAGGTAGGGTGAAAGCAATATAAGAATATCAGTTTATGAGTTAGAATATGAATATGTTTGAAAAGAAAAATTAAACTATTATGGGAAACTGCTGTCATTAATATTTCAGGAACTTCACATTTTCCAAAACAAAAATAAAACTGTTCAGATTAATATAAAAATAACATACAATACATTATGTAGTATGTACTACAGTTTGGGGGTTGTTTACTAAAACTGCAAGGTGCAAAATCTAATGCAATTCTGCATAGAAACCAGTCAGCTTCCAGGATTTATTGACAAAGCCTAAGCTACCATTCACAATTATACCAGATCTTGAGTACAGCAGTTTTGATAACCCTACCCCTATATGTTTTTAATTTATGTAATGACATCACCTTGTATTTATTTCCACATTTAATTGCAGACCATGCTTCCTAGCAAAACTGGCAGGGTTTGGGGCAAAATATAAAACTGGCAAGGTCTGTGGCAAAATCCAAATTAGCTTGAGCAGTTGTTGCTACTAATATAATTATTATTCTTATTAAGTGTTCTTGCATGGGAAGACCACTTACTGTTATCTCACATATATATTCCTATTATTATAGCCAAATTTACCACCCTAACTCCTCCCACAGTTTTTACACTACATAGACAGTTATATACCGAAACGATTGTTCCTGATTGGTGTGCTATTACTTTGTGGAACGTTTCGCCGAATGGTTTCATGAAATATCGGTGTTTTTGTGGTGAAATTGGTCCCATAGGAATGAATGGCAGAATGTTCAAAACTAGAGTGGGAGCTGACAAAAGCTAGAGTGTGAGCTGAAAAATCAGGACATGATTTCTAAACTGCCATCACTCCCTCATTTTCAAGCCCACCTACACAAATCTTATATCAAAACGTTCAGCTATCCCTGCTGCCACTAAAAATGTCCATGGCTAAGCCATAGTCCTGATAGTTTTCACAATATGACCATTTGTTTGCAACTCACGCCGCCCATTAACATTCATTGAAACTCCACTCTAGACACCTGAAATGTGAAGGGCAATTTCTAAACTGCAACTGTGCCTTCATTTTTAATATTTCAGAGACATACTATGCATCAAAATGAGGCCTGGGTCTTGTGATTCTCACAATATAAAGCTTTTCACTGTAGGATTTATAGTTTTAAAACTACAACCATTTAAAAATGGCAACCGCCAGTGAAGTGAGCAAGTTGGAGCAGTTTGTTTTTAACCTCTCCTCTGCCCTTGCTGTAGAGTGAGTTGCCATAGGAACCCAGGTGTGTGAGCAGGCAGCAGAGTGACAAAAGCTACTCCGCCCACTCCAGTTGTAGACTACTGGTGGAGAAAAGAACACTTCACACAATTTCCCCAGAAATTGTAGATTTTCTAGTTACTATTATTATTTGAAGATATCACTATTGTTAGTACCCTTGGCAGTGTGACGGTTAGTCCTAACCAGCTTGTTCTGTGTAGAAAACAAATATAAAGCCATGTAAAACAAGAAAAGAAATTCATAAACTAAAAACTCTCATCTCATGTATCATCCACAAATACAATATATTTTATGACTGCAGACCTTTTAAAAAAGCAAAAGGCCAAGACACTGCTGAACACCACCAATTAGGTATAGAAAAAGAGACACTCCTTCAGATCTACTATGATGACCTTCAGCATGGTCTAATATAAGTCATGATAAGGTATGGCTTGTTGAGTCTCTAGAGAACACCAGTGTGATACCTTGGGTAAGGTCTGTATAATATTGTGCTCAAGTATATGCCTGTTAAGTTCTGTCGGATTTTTAATGGATATCTGGGGTTCCATTAGAAAAATGTACCCACAGTTCCTGTATTGCTGACAATGTTTTACGACACAAAATCTAAAGAAGCCATTGCATATAATAACAAAAATTATGGAGAAAAAATTGGACTTAATGGTGGTGAGGGTGGACCCAAGGGTTAAGTGACAAAAGTCTTATTGATAGAAGAAGGTTCACCCAAAAAGTCACTAAATAAGATTTAACAAACTAAAAAAATCCCAGCGCCAATCAAAGAAAGTATACAATTATGCAGCTGTGCACCAGTGAAAACCACCAATAATAAATAACACAAAAAACAGCCACAGGTCTTGAAAACGCCCTGTGGGTGGGGCAAAACGCGTTGACGCACTTCCGGTCTGCCGTCTTCTTGGCCTACGTCACTTCCGGTATTTGGAACGCACGCCGACTTTTGCGGATCAAGCAGCCATTTTGAGGTGGAAAGCTGGTCATCCTCTACAGTGATCCTTAAAGCGTGAGATCCCTATATTTACAATTTGGAAACTTGTTCCTTTGAAGCCTTTGAGGCTATTAAACAAGGCCTGTTATTTTATTGAAACATGTGAGTGTCCTTATTCTATCGATTTATATGGTATTGAGTGGCAGTATTACACTATGTAGCCTTTCTTTCCTTGCACATTATTGAGGATTCCATGGAGAAGTAGAGTGGAGTCGATTGCTGTATCTAAGCACGGTGAAGAAGGTGATTTGAGTTCCTCCTGAGGGGCTATAGGATCCCTTATATCCTATGAGGCTTATTACTCACCTCCATCTGGTGAGTGCGGTCAATATTATTTTTCACGTGGTGATTAGGTGGAAGCACATTTTGGAACATTGTTTTGAAAATCCTTTTGGGAAAATAAGGACTTATGTTTGAAATATTATATATATATTTTTGCACGGACATTTATTTATTTGTGATTATTTTTATTTATTTAATTTTTGCGCTGTTTTTTTTTTGTGTTATTTACTAAATAAGAGTTGCAGCTCTTCTGAAGTCATTCGTTATCTAAAAAAATAATGCACCTGTGACACTGAAAAAAAAAAAAAATAAAAATTTGACAGGGGTTCTAGTCTTCTCCTTCTATTCTAAAGAATAGAAAAACATTGTCAGCAGTACGGGACATGAAAGTAAATCTTTTAAACAGAGCCCAAATTAGCACCCTGAAAAAAAGATCTAATGCTTCTCAACTCTATCCAAAAATAGGAAGAGGTTTTGCCTGTATATACTAGTTAAAATTGTTGATTTGCTTTTTTCTTTATGCTGCACAGATGTTTCATGTAGTGAAGGCACAAATGCAAATAGACAAAAGGCAGAAATGGAGGATGATATTTTGGAATACAACAATCTACCTAATTCTTACAAAGTCAGTACTTTAAAAATAAATGTTCTTTCATTCCAAACCAGATAACACCAAGTATGCAAAGTAGCAGAATGTGAAGACAAATTTAGACAAAATGCAATATGCAGTTAATGAGAAAGATATGATTGTCGTTAGAAATGTCTGATCTGTATAACAATGGGATTGATTTACTAAAACTGGAGAGTGCAAAATCTGGTGCAGCTCTGTATAGAAACCAATCAGCTTCCAGTTTTTTTTTTGTCGAAGTTTAATTGAACAAGTTGAAGATAGAAGCTGATTGGCTACCATGCACAGCTGCACCAGATTTTGCACTCTCCAGTTTTAGTAAATCAACCTCAATGTCTTTTACAACAGCTCTTTAAAATGGTGAAATAGCCCCTCATAATGGATCATTAAAATTCATGTTCACAGCATACTGAACTCATTACTTTGAAGTAAAACAGTAATAAAATCTCTTTCTTTTGCCTTGACGTAAAGTCTGAGTGGGCTTAATTACGTGGTGTTTGGGTATCAGGAACACTGGAAGTGTATCTTACCACTTGAGATCATTGTCAGGTATATAGAATTAAAGTGTTACTAAACCCACACCAGTAAAATCAGTCTGTAAATGCAGTAAAGCATGCTTGTTATGCTCACTGAACAACCTAAGGGGTTGATCCTCTGCATTCTGTAAAAACTGTATTTGGTCTTTTCTTCTCTGATCCTCCCCTTCTTCCAGTGCCCCCCCCCCCCTTATCTCCTGATAAGATTTATTGTGTGGAGACACTTTGCGCATGCTCAGTTTGGTGTTTATTGATAGAGAGTTGTTTTTTTTCTTGGAAGAGTGCATGTGATCAGCACAGGGCCAATCAGCACTGTCCAGACAGAGGTCAGGGGTTCTTCATCCTCCTGGAGCAGAAAGAAAACGCCTCCTACAAGCTTTAACTAGTGCTCTGCTGAGCACTGATATAAGTCACAAGACTGCTCTAACTGCTGATGAGAAAAGGCATTTAGCCGTTTATATTTACTAAAATAATTGCATTTCCATATTGTGTGAACTGTGGGAGACCATATACAGTGAATGCAGGGTCCTGGGTTTAGTAACACTTTAATAGTAAAATATGACTGCTGTACATTTATGGTTGCAAAAGTACAAACAAACAGGTTATTGGGAGACAGAAGGATCCAAACCCTCCCTCTGAATTAGCAAGAAAAACAGCACAGCCTGTTTTAACCACTTGCCTGTTGGGCACTTTTACCCCCTTTTGTGCCCAAGCCAATTTTCAGCTTTCAGCGCTGTTACCATTTGAATGACAATTGCGTGGTCATGCAACACTGTACCCATATGAAATGTTTATCTTTTTTTCCACACGAATAGAGATTTATTTTGGTGGTATTTAATCGCAACTGGGTGATTTATTGTTTGCACTATAAACAAAAAAAGAGCAACAAATTTGAAAAAAAAAAGTTTTTTTCTTTGTTTCTATTATAAAATTTTTCTCCTTCACTGATGTGCATTGTGATGTGCATTGATGAGGCTGCACTGATACGCAGCACTTATGGACACTGATAGGCTGCACTGATGAGGTAGCACTGATGAGGAAGCACTGGTAGGAATTGATGAGGAGGCACTGATGATGCTGCACTGATACGCAGCACTGTTGGACACTGATAGGCAGCATTGATGGGCACTGATAGGCTGCACTGATAAGGTAGCACTGATGAGGCAGCACTGGTGGGAATTGATGAGGAGGCACTGATGATGCTCCACTGATATGCAGCAATGAGGGGCACTGATAGGCGGGACTGATGGGCGGCTCTGACTGGTGGTACTTACTGAAAGCACTGACTGGCGGCACTGCTGATCACTTCTGGGTGGCACTGCTGGGCGGTTCTGCTGGATAGGACTGCTGGGCACTGATGGGTGGCACTTCTGGGCACTGATAGGCACTACTGTGCACTGGTGGGTGGGCACTGCTGGGCAGCACTTCTGAGCACTGATCATCCCTGCCCTGATGATCAGTGCCGATTTGCTCTGTGACAGTTGCCGGTTATCAGAAGTGCTTTCCTCACGCTGTCACAGGCATTTTGCATTTTTTCTTCAGCCTGTAGAAGCAGTTGTATGTTAGTCTATGTGTCCATGCACATTAGGGAGTTTACAGGCAGATTTTAAGAGGAGCGTTTAGAGGCAGAAAGAAGGAAAAAACATTCAGAATTGCATTTTTGAGAGGAGATTTTGGGCAGAAAAGTTTACACAAACAAATGTTAGGAGAGTTCAGCATTTTCAAGTGTACATTGAAAACTGAGGTTCTGACATTTTTCTTCCCCTAGTGTGCATGGACCCGAACACTCTTAATAATGTGGCCTAATATTTAGGAACTGCATTAAAATGCATGTACTGTGATCGAAATTCAAATAAAAATTCATGCGTGATGGGACCACTGTCAACTTTTTTGGTGTAATATAAGTATAAGTTATTAAATGAAAATAGATAATTTATATAAAGAGCAATCAGCTATCTCAGTGTGTCCAGGGCCAGTGCTAGATGATTTTGCACCCTAGACAAGACCAGCTACTTGCAGCCCTCCCCCCCCCAAAATAAAACTCCACATAGAACTAGTTCTTACCAATGTTACCGCCATGTGGAGACTGACTGGGGAGCTGGGAGGAAGTGATGTTGTGTGCAGCATGGCTTATACAGCACCTCATTGGCTGGATATCTCTTCTTCATGGATTGGCTGAAGTTTGCAAGAGACAGCTTTGTCTCCAGCTAACATCATCCAATCCTGTCTGGGACAGTGACACCAGGACCCAGAAGTGACATTTTACACATTGCTTCTGGGTCATTAGTAGGAAGGGGAGATCAGTGAACAGGTGTTTGCTGATCTCCCTCCCTTCTATCAGTGGCACCCATCATGCAGGCCCCAGGTCTGCTGATGGGAGCATGGAGCATGGGAAACATGGCAGGGTACATGTGGGGTGTGGAAGTGATCTGGAGGCTGCACAGCTATTGGACATTAAAAATGTGTGGATGAGCCACACCATCCCCCAACACTCCCCATTATACTGCAAAGGCACTTCCACTCTAGTACGGCAGGGGGGGGGGGGTTACACTACTCCTCGCTACTATTGCCATACTACGGTGACAGTGCCTTTGCAGTGTAGTCTGGAGTGGCTGGGAGATGGTAAAAATGTGGCTCAGCCACACATTTTTGATGTCTCTCAAACACAAGTGTAAATAAGAACTAACAGGAAGCATCTCACTGTACTTATGTGATCACACAGTACAAAAGATGCTGTATGTCTGTCTGAATACAGCGTATGGCTGTATCCCTGTCTGTGCCTGAAAAAACTGAAATTGTGAGTTTGCCTGTGCATCGGGTTCCCATTGCTGCCTCTGCCCTCCTTCACCTTTCTGTTGAATCACCTCCTGCAACTGGGCTACAGATTCATCTCCCACCCTCTGCAGCGAGGAGGAAGGGATAATCACTCAGCTAGTGAAAGGCTGTGAGCAGCCACTGATCAGCATTGCAAAACGCGCCCAAAATTAAAAAAAAAAATAGTTCTCCTCTGCTCCTCGCCTCCTGGGCCCCTATGGTGAACTGATGGTGCCCAGGGAAAATATAATTAATGTTACAGCAAGGCTATCTGTTACTGCCCTATCGGCAGCCCTGGCTGTGGCTGCACCCTAGGCAGCAGTGCACCCTAGGCGACTGCCTAGTTTGCCTAGTGGTAGCACCGGCCCTAAATGTGTCATGCCAATGCAGTTATTACAGAAGCTAAAAACTTGCTGCAAAAGATCAAGTATAAAGCTTAAAGAAGTAACTCCACTTTTCTAAAAAAAAAAAAAAAAAATCCCCAATCTCCTCCTGGTGATCAATGTACATTGCAAGGATTTTAACACACATTTTTGCAGTTTCTTACCTAGTTCTGTTCTGAAGAAAAAGCTGCTTTTTCCACTTTGTGTCTTTGGATACTAATTCCGAATTGGAGTGAATTTTTTACTATTAATCAGCTGATACACTTGCAGTGTTTTAATGAGGAAAATGCAATGTCAGCATCCTTTTGGAAATGATTAACCATTTGGGAGTATTTTACCAAAACTGAAATTTCTGTTGCAAAGGATGCCTAAAATCTGACTTGCATCTTTGTGCAGGTTTCTGGAAAAATGCGTGAGATAATCACACAAGCAGTAAATGGCATTTCTGGGAAGGTTCTTCACACCAACTGTGTACAGAAGACCTCCACGTTAACATATTGCATTACATTTTATAGAAAATGACAGAAATGCAGATTGAAAAGGAAAGGTGTTTTCTATTTTTTTTTTATTTAAATTTTTATTCAGTTTTACATATAAAATACATGTTTCATCATTACTCTCAATATAACATAGAAAACCATCCGTTATATCCCCTGCTATCATTATTCCCATTACCCCCCTCCACCCATCCCCGCCCACCCTGAAATCTACCCCTCCCCCCAAAATAAATAAATAAATAAAAAATAAATCCACCCACTCTGCATCTCTCCATTACATCTTTCCCTAAATAAGGGTTACTTTCACATATCCCACTCTACTGCTTCATGTATTTCACCTTGAGCTCAAAATCTTCCCATTTTCCCCACCTCCTATAATATACATCCATCTTGTCTTCTTGCATATAATACAGTTTCTCCATTCTACATATCTGATTCACTCTTTCCGCCCAATCCTCATCTTTCGGCACCTCTGAGCTATGCCAAAACTTAGGTATCAAACCCTTTGCCGCATTCAGATAATACCATATGCCCGAATCTTTGTATTTGTTCACTGATAACTCTGTACCATGTAACAAACACAACTCTGGATCCAGTCCTATCTTTATCCCAGAGATTATCCCAATTAAATGAACCACTGTCTCCCAAAAACGTTGAATCTTTGGGCACTCCCACCATCTGTGATACAACGTACCTATCTTTCCACACCCCCACCAACACTCTGGTGTATTCTCCCCAGTCATCTTATATTCTACGTGCGTGGAAAGGTGTTTTCTAAATAACATTTTTTTAACCACTTCCCGACCGGCCGTTGCATATAAACAGCCGGACGGTGGCAGTGCAGAGTCGGGTGGCCATTTATAAATGGGCTCCCCTCACCCTGCTTCTGCGCGCTCCCTCGGAGCGTGCAGCACCGCAATCCGGTGCCCGCTGTGTCCTCCGGACACAGTGAAACACCGATCATCGGACGGGACCTCTGTACGAGGTCCCGATCATGTGATCACAGATTGGCCAATCAGTGATCACATGCAAAGTAGTAAGCAAGATGCCACTTGTGACATCATTGCTTACTACGTGTGAAATCTGTGAATGATCACAGAGGTCACATGGTACAAGGCTATTCACAACAGTCTTGTACCATGTGACAAGCTGTGACCAATCACAGCTCACTCAGTACTTCTCAATGAGTGCAAGAATGCAGCCAGAGAGAAAGAGAAATGATTGCTTTTACATCCTATATGGGTGTAAAAGCAATCAGCGTAAAAAAAAAAAAAAAAAAATCTTCATCACCCCCCCACAAGTAGTACAGTGTCACCATAGTCCATGGTGACACTGTACTGCTAGGGTGACAGTATGTAAAATAAATAAATAAATAAAAACTAATAATATAAAAAAAATAAAATAAAAATGTAAACAAATGTTTAAAAATTATAATTTTTGGTTATAAACTAATTTGGATTTTTTTTTTTACTAAAAAGATAACGGAATAAATTTTGGCAAAGATTTATGATGAAATATTATTTATTTGCAAAATTTTATTAAAAAAACACTTTTTTAAAAAATTTTTTGGACATTTTCATTTACACAGCAAAAAAAATAAAAATCCCAGCGGTGAATAAATACCACCAAAATAAAGCTTTATCTGTCTCAAAAAAATGGTAAAAAATTCATTTGGGTACAGTGTTGCATGACAGCGCAATTGTCATTCAAAGTGTGATAGCGCTGAAAGCTGAAAATTGCCCTGGTCAGGAAGGGGGTAAAAGTGTCCAGTCTGGAAATGGTTAAAAATAACATTCAATTACCACATGGCGTGTTTTGCATTTGAATATGCAATATTAGTGTTTTATATTTGCTATTTTTTTCTCCAAGAAATCAGAGTTACCCTTTAACTGGAGCTCACTAATGGATTTCTAAATCAGTCAGCAAGAGGTAGTCGCTATTATAATTTTTTTTTATACTGCTGATAAAACAGATACCGTAAACTTCCCAAGTCAGTTTTGGGAAACAAAGTATGCATAGCAAATGCTACATAGAGATAAATGTACCTTAAATTAAATTAAAGTCCCCATTAAAGGAAACCTGTTATGTGAGAAATTTGTAAACTGTTGTTGTTCACAATATTTTATAAATATAATTTAATATTTTCTCAGCCATAAACTTGGAACAAGCATATAGCAATCTAGTCAGAACTCTTATTTAGCATATTTCATTAGGATTAAGTAACACACTAGAGGGTCTATTTATTACAAAACAAAATCACTATGCGAACACCTTAAGCTTTCACACAGCTGTCATGAAAATCACTGTATGGATTATAACATGTTTATTTGCTAAAATCATCAGCTTCATCTAGTTGCCATAATGCAGTATTTTCCTGAAATACCTTAATAAGGGAAATACCATATTGTTGTCACTAGATGGAGGTGCCGATTATAGGAAATAAACATCATGTATATAAAATGGTGATTATTTGGGATGGTTTTGCAGGTTAAGACATTTACACATATTTTTTTTTAAATAAATAGACCTCAAAGTATTAAAGAGATTCTCTTAGGTCTCTACAGTGGAAGGCAGCATATACTTAGCTCTCCAAAGACCAGTTTTTCCTATCTCAAGTCGATTCCAGCACTCTAGCCTTGGAAAACATGTTTGATATCCAGCACTGCAGAGCTCAACAGTGATGCAGAAGGTCTGTTTGAAGAAGGAACCAGATTGTAGTGTGAGGCACAAGCAGGGGCGGAATGACAACTCATGGGGCCCCCGGGCAAAAGGGGATCATGGGGCCCCTGTGTCCTTGCCCAAACTCAAAAAAGCCTATGAAAAAGGTACCAGGGGCATCTCATGGGGCCTCCTACTGACCCCGAGCCCTCGGACAGTGCCCAAGTTTCCAAATGGTCAGTCCGCCCCTGGGCACAAGTATCTGACACTCTTGAAAATGCTGAATTCTGAAAAGTACCTGGAATGGAGGAGTGGTAAGCGGAAATGGACCACCAAAGAGCTGGGTTTATGTTGACCTCTACTGCAATGAATCACTGGATTTACATCTTTAGAAGCCTGGCATGGGTGTTTTTAATGGCAGAGTATCAGTTAGGCAACCAGGAAACTAGCATTTTCAGAAGGATGTCAGCATGGTGGCAGCTTCTGTATTTCCCTGATGACTTTTTTCTGTCTGTAGAACAAACCTGCACGTAACTGCAAAGCAAACGGCAGTTTCAAAAGAATCTGTCAAGAAAGATCTCCTATTATCATTTTCACACTGTCTTTCTTTTGTCTATTTCTTTAAGGTTTTCTTTTTCTGTTAACTAAGATTTGGGAGCGTGTAATTCATTACATCAGTTATTTGAGGGATATTTTAATTAGAAGTTTTAGCCTATTTCACATTTATACAGTGCAACAATTGATCAAATTCAATTAAATTGCTCATAGTTGTTAAAAGAAAAATATATCAGCCTTAGGGGACGTCATTAGATAGTTGAGATTTTTTTTTTGTAATGACTTTTTGTATAGAACAAAATGTTTGGCTATTATCTTTCTAATATAAATGCACAGTAGTTTATAGTTACTAATGTTTGTTGTATGAAAGCACTCTGCCTTAATGTCTAGAATTACCTATGTGCTTGTTTTATGGGTTGTTCACAAATTATGATTTTGTGACACAGTTTTGTTTTATTCTCCCATTTCATGATTTTATGATCTGTTTGAGCACACACTAATGCTTTGTTTTATATTTCTTATAGATTTTTGATTTGTAACAGTGGGCCCTTGTGTGATTAAATGGTAACAAAAATGAATCTTTTCATTACATGTGTGCTGTACTGAGTTTCTTAACATTACAAGTTTGACCTAATTTTTTCATCTCAGCTCATGGCATGTAATTGAAACTTTTTCAGTGCTAAAGTTCTGAAAATGTCTGCCTTAAATTTGAAACATCTTACAATATGTGCTCTCATTTTTCAATGTTAACTTATGCTGTTACAAATGATTCTACTTTTTGGTAAAGACTTACCTATCTAGGTTAACCTTCCCAGAGGTCATTGAAGTTTATGTTAAATTTAACAGTGTTAGTATGCTTTGGCTAACTAGGAAATTATATAATCAGTTTGCATATCTGAATATTTTGTATAACATGTTAAGGATAGATGTGTTTTTTAATACCCCTTTTTATTTAAACCCGTGTTTTTTATTATCATAGACTGACAAGTATGTAAAATGTAAAACAAATTAAATAAAAAATGCTTAAATTAGTTTTGATTATTTTTTAAATGCTGTAATCAAATTACAGCATTAAACATATTGTACTGGCGGTGCTGTTTTCTCATTAAAGCCTCCAGCCTGCATGCATGTAATAGTTGACATGGTAATCACATGAACTTTTTTTGGAAACTGATTCATTCCCAATTGTCAATGGAGACAAGCTGTTAGCAACAGCTGGAATTAACAGACACCAGCTGCATTAAGTTTTGGCTGGTGGTTCTGAAAGGGAAAACCAGAATGGAGCATTGTGCTGGGGTACATTGATATACAGATGGTAGGTGGGAAGGGGTTAAACATTATATATTATTTTTCTGTAGCCTTGAGTGTATTGTACATGTAGAGTGTGTAGAAAGGCATATGATTTCTGCAGGCTGTAAAGATACGCAAGGGTGCTCTGGCATGTGGATCAGATGGGTGTTGAGAGCCATCTGAATTGGTCTCATGCACTATTCTGTATTTTTGCACAGCTAACTGTGGAGACAATGCACACATTTCTATTGTTAATCCAGTCTGTTTGTAGATAGGCAATATGTGGCCAGGTAATCCACCCAAATCCCTGGCTGATGTTATCACATTGCAAAATGACCTGTTTCTCTTTGTAAACCAACTGGCTGGAGACGTAATTGAATTACTTGACCAAAGATGTTCATGATCATATCTTGTGAATGCCTATCATTACTATGGGGTTTGTTTACATACCGCAGCTGGCTGGGAATCTATCATTTGCATCAAGTGGCAGGTAGGTCGTCATGGCTGACGTAGAACTACATTGCAGAATGGATTGATGTTGTATTTAGTAGTTCTCTAATAAAGGGCTTTTTTTATGGTCTGTTTTATTTACTTTTTTTTACCTGTGTTGTAGATTAGGAAGGGCTACTATGGGCAGATATTTGAAGGCTTCACTAGAGGGACACTAAAGGGACCTACAGGCTTCACTACAGGCTTCACTAAAGGGACCTCCAGATTCTGATAATATCACCTCTACTAACATCAGCATTCCTTCTGGGGGACAGGATGTGAGGACAAGACCCTTATCTCTTCCACAGGAGGTTAGGTGTGCCCTGCAAAGGGAATGCTTTGCTAAGGCCAAGACTTTACTCACATGCAAGGCACATACTCTAGTGTTAAAGATAAAAGGTACCTATGTCCGCATCCTGTCCCCCAAACTAGATGTGGGGTCTTAAGGAGAGCTTTTTGGAATCTGGAAGACCCTTTAGATTAATGGGGCCCTCTTATATATGCCACCAGTGGAATGAGTACACCGAATACATATTACCCCATTTTAATAATTCACAAAAAAGTAAACAATTAAATTAAAGCAACACCATAAAAATAATTTATTAAAAAAAGGATTTGCTTATTTTGATAAAGCACCATATATCATAAATGACTGTTAAAAAAAAAATTTTTTTTTGTTTTACCTTTTGTGGCATTATTTCCTAAGCCACAATTATATCAACCTCTTTACAGCTGTCTACATGTTACAAACATGGTGAAGGCAAGAGAATGGTCCATGGAAGACAAGAGAAGAGGTGATTTCTCTTCACAGGAAGGGCAATGGCTATAAGAAGATTGCAAAGATGTTAAACATACCAAGAGACACCTTAGGAAGCATCATTCGCAAATTCAAGGCAAAGGGCATTACCCTGCAACAACGGTACATCATTTCACAGAACAGGCTTCCTACTAGTGACAACAGTGAACCATGCCTGCATATGTGTTGAAATAGCCAATTGTAGTCTCCTTTGAAAATTAGGGTGTGTTACATGGTGTCACAAGAGGAGCGCAACTGGTAGAGGGGGCAGAGCTACAATAAATGTCTAATCTTTAAATTTTTGGGCCAGTTTTCTTTCCTCTTCTTATGATGCAGTGTACTCATACAGAAAAGTAAAAGAAAAAGATTCTGTGGTTTAGGCTTTATTACTTCTAGGACAGTGTAGTGATGAAATCTTGCGTATTGATTGCTTGCCTACATTTTTTGCTTAATATATCCTAATATCTTTCTCTTTCAGTCCTATTTGTGGATTTTTTTAATCTTCTTGAAGTTTCAGTGCCATATTGGATTGAATGTTTATTGATCTGCAGTGCTGATCTGCAGAGTGCAGATCGGGGTCAAATAGCAAATTTGTGGAATTGATTTGTTTACCTTCTATATTAGTGTTGTCAGATCCTAAAGTGGCATAGATATTGCGTAGTTCAGGCAGTTTTATTATTTGCACAATTCTAGTTGACTGCATGCTTTACTATACGTTATCTCTTAATTGTCAACCACTTGAATTTTACCAACAGCATCATCATTAGCCGTGCAAAAGAGATATTTCACAATCACTGATCCTAAGATACTGCATAGACTTTTTGTATATAGAATGCTACAATGGGCTTTATTCGAGATGTAAAGAACTTTACATTTTTTAACAGTGAAATCTTGAAATTTAATGTATAATAATTATAATATTGGTGATAATACATATCTGTGTAAATCATGACATTATCAATTCTATACAAAATACAGACCCATGAGAACAGCTTCCTACTTTTACTTACAGATGCTGGACAGTAGTAGTATCCATCGTTGGATGGGACCCTTGGTTATGGTGGGTGTCATAATTCTGAGACTTGCAATGCCTTCTGAAAGTAAAAGATGTACTTACAGTTGTGTTCAAAATAATAGCAGTGTGTTGAAAAAAGTGAATAAAGCTGAAAATCCTTCTAATAGCTTTTATTTCCATACACACAAATGCATTGGGAACATTACACATTCTATTCTAAATCAAAACATGAAGAAAAATATAGCAAATTTGTGTTGTTCCTCTAAACAAAATGAAGAAAAGTGACTATTAGACTGTTCAAAAAAATAGCAGTGTTTGTATTCTCCTTTACAAACTCAAACATTCACTATATAATCTGAAAAATGTTTGAAGATTTTGCTTTCCTTTAAATCACTTAATGAATATTTAGTTGTATAAGCACTGTTTCTGAGAACTGCTGTACATCTGTGTTGCATGGAGTCAACCAACTTCTGGCACCTGTGAACAGGTATTCCAGCCCAGGATGATTGGACTACATTCCACAGTTCTTCTCCATTTCTTGGTTTTGCCTCAGAAACTGCACTTTTGATGTCACCCCACAAGTTTTCTATTGGATTAAGATCCGGGGATTGGGCTGGCCACTCTATAACATCAATCTTGTTGGTCTGGAACCAAGATGTTGCTCGTTTACTGGTGTGTTTGGGGTCATTGTCATGTTGGAACACCCATTTCAAGGGCATTTCCTCTTCAGCATAAGGCAGCATGACCTCTTCAAGTATTCTGATGTATTCAAACTGATCCATGATCCCTGGTATGCGATAAATAGGCCCAACATCGTAATATGAGAAACATCCCCATATCATGATGCTTGCACAACCATGCTTCACTGTCTTCACAGTGTACTGTGGCTTGAATTCAGTGTTTGGGGTCGTCTGAAAAACTGTCTCCGGCCACTAGACCCAAAAAGAACAATCTTACTTTCATCAGTCCACAAAATGTTGCTCCATTTCTCTTTAGGCCAGTCAATGTGCTCTTTGGCAAATTGTAACCTCTTCAGCACGTCTTTTTTTCAACAGTGGGACTTTGCGGGGGCTTCTTGCAGATAGCTTGGCTTTACATAGGCGTCTTCTAATTGTAACAGTACTCACAGGTAACTTTAGACCTTCTTTGATATTCCTGGAGCTGATTGTTGGCTGAGTCCTTGCCATTTTGACTATTCTTCTATCCATTCTAATGGTAGTTTTTTGCTTTTCTTTCACGTCTTTCAGGTTTTGGTTGCCATTTTAAAGCATTTGCGATCATTTTAGCTGAGCAGTCGATCATTTTCTGCACTTCTTTATATGTTTTCCCCTCTCCAACCAACTTTTTAATCAAGGTACGCTGTTCTTCTGAACAATGTCTGGAACGACCCAATTTCCTCAGAATTTCAGAGAGAAATGCACTGTAACCAGCATGTACAACATTTGCTGCCTTCCTTCCTTAAATAAGGGCAATAACTGCCACCTGTTTTCCAAAGAATGATTAACCTCACTAATAGAACTCCACACTGGTATTATTTTGAACATGCCCCTTTCAATTAGTGATTCAATTACACAGAATCAGCAGCATGCATGTCATGACTGTTGGGTCTGTTGGATTTCTATTACTCTACTACACCTGCTAGTAGATTATTTGCCATGTAGAAATATCAATTTCTGCCAAAAACAGTGATTGATCAGGTAAGTGATGTCTGACTGCTATTATTTTGAACACAACTGTATGTTTTTGTATTGAGTATTTTCTTGAGTCTATGCTTGTTACCTTAGCCTTGAGCTTTTGCAATTAACCTACCTGTAGCAATCTAAAAAATGTAATTCCCATTTATCCATTTAAATTGTTTTTAATTGCCTTATGAAGCACTTCTATATTCAGTTAGTTCCTGTGTAGGGAATCATTAATTCAGCACAGAAAATATGCCTATGCTGGCTGGTTCTTAGGTCTGATATCTTTCTTTTGGATCCTGAGAAGACACTATGGCTGGAAGTCAAATGAGAGTGTCCACATCACATAGGCAGTAATGTGGACATCTGAAGAAGGGTGGTGTACACAGAAGAAGAGCAAGACTTGGGACCAGAATGTTGTGTGACCACAGATTTTGTTAATAAAAGGGCATTTATGCAAGGTATTTATTCTAAAGGTTTTGCACAAAGCAGCTCTGATGCTCTTATTTTTGGGTCACCTGCTGGCAGTCCTGGCTCCTCCCCCTTGCTGAGTGCCCCCAATAGTAAGCCCATAGCTATGGAGGCAGTCAAGCAGCCCTGCTCCTGACATTGTCTCCTCATTTTTAAGTAGCTGTGATTGATTTCAGCAGGAATCAATGGCTCCCACTGTTGTGTAAGCCTATAAGGAAAGTAAGAGAGACCCTGGAAAGCTGTGGCTCTCATACACATTGCTGGATTGAGATAGGGCTCAGGTAGTATGGGGGGGGGGGGGGGCTGAGGGGGAAGCTGCACCCAGACGGTTTTTAGCTTAATGCATAAAATGCAGTAAGGTAAAAAAAAACCCTCTACCTTTAGAATCACTTTAACCATTTCCTGACCGCCCTATAGCAGAAACACTGCTACGGGGTGGCAGGTGCACAAAATCACGTATATATATGCGATTTCCGGTAGGGGGCGTGTGCAAGGCACCTGCGCTGCCATTCGCAGCCGAGGCTGTCAATCACTGGGTTCCACCAGGTGATTACGCGCTGGCGCCTGGTGATTACCGAGGATCTCTGATGGGGGGAGGAGAAATATTTAGTTTAATAACAGTTCTCCTCCCTGTCATCTTGAGCACACTGCTCTCCCTCATGTTAACCCCTTCCTGCCCAGTTAGTACAGTGTCAGTGCTTTTTTTTTTTTAGCACTGATCACTGTATTGGTGTCACTGGGGATATAAGTGACACCAAGTCAGTTCCCTTCAGTGTAAGAATGTCCGCCGCAGTCCTGCTATAAGTCGCTGATTGCCGCCATTACTAGTAAAAAAATTCCAGTATATATATCGCCATTTGTGAACACTATAACTTTCACGTAAACCAATTAATTTACTCGGATTGGGATTTTTTTTTTTAGCAAAGACATGTAGCAGAATACATTTGGCCTAACTGTATGATGAAATCTGAGTTTTTCAATTTTTTTACTGGACATGTTAAATAGCAAGAAGTTAAGAACATTGTTTTTTTCTCAAAATTGTTGGGCACAAAAAATAGTTTTTTGTTGGGTGCATCATTGCACGATCGAGCAATTGTCAGCTAAAGTAACGCAGTGTCGTAACGCAAAAAATGGCCTGGTCAGGAAGGGGGGTAAATCTTCAGGAGGGCAAGTGGTTAATGATAGCAATCAGTGTGTGTATGTGTGTTTGTGTGTGTGTGTACCTGGCAATGGGTCAGTACACATATCAGTCTTCGGCTGTGTACTGACCCATTGCCCATTGAATCTAATGGACACAGCCTGTGACAGATCTCACTGCAGTGTGGCCCCGAACTGGTTAAACAAGCTGAGGTTAGCAGCTGATTGGTCTCTATGCAGAAGTATGCCTGATTTTGCACTTTCCAGCTTTAGTAAATAAACCCCAAAGCTTTCTTCTGGGGTTTCTATGTAACACAGAAGGTAGACAAAAGCAAAACAAAACTAGATGGAATTATTTAGTAAAGAGATTATCACAGTTTTGTAAAAAATACAACATACTGTTTAAAAAAATCAATTGATATATCCATCTCACTGTAGAAGTGTTAACCTCCCTAGCGGTTAGCAGCGTTTTGGCCCTATTGATGAATGTGTGGAATTGTAGGGAGCATTAGTATGTTTTGACCCCCCTAGCGGTATGATTATGTCAATATTTCTGTGCTCAAAGCGGTACTTTTTTTGCTTTGAAATATGTTGTTTTTTTATTGTAGGGTATGATAAGATTTGAAACACAAAATCATAAATTATAATATAATAAATAATCATAAAAAAATAATATATATAATAATAATAAATGTAATTCAATAATGTAATCAAACTAAAAACACTGAAATTTGAAATAGAGCGCTACGTTTGCATATCACTGAACTTAGTTTTCAGTGTCTGATAACGAATTTCCCCGCAAATCATTATCACTCAATTCTGCAAGTGGTTCTAATTTACTATCACTGTTCTCTAGGCGGTCTAAAACCACTTTTGACCTAAAGGGACGCTTTTTGGACTTTTCTCAGTTTCCAGGCAGAAAGAACAGTAAAAATGCAGGCAGGGCACAGGACAAAGCACTCGGGACAAAATGTATATGAAATGGTTTGATACAGTAATGTTATACTATGTGATTTTAGTGTATTAAGTGAATGTCACTTTTAGAATGTTTGAATTTCCCACCGGTTCCATCCCCGTACGTTCACAGGGAACGGCACCTGGAAGACGGATGCCTGCATCGGCTGGAGGAGCTGGCAGGGGACGCTGTAGGGGGGACATCGCGGGAGCGCAGGACAAGGTAAGTGCTGGAGGGATCCCAGAGCAACGCTGCAGTTTAATCACGAGTGTAGCTCGGGGTTACCGCTTTTGGTACTGAAAGTTAACCCCGAGCTACACTCATAAATACAGCCAGGGGGTTAAGGATGAGAATATACACATCAAAGATAAATCAATATACTAAATATATGTACACAAACTTTAATATGAGATTATGTTTTCCTCTTCTCTTGAAAAAGCAATTTTTGTTTTATCATACCTTCATTTTCATATACACTAAGCATAAAAGTTGAATGCATTACAAGTAATTCATTGCATGTTTATCCAATTCACAACACTCCAATGTGAAGAAAAAAAAACATATTGTCATTCAGACTCTGATTTTAAATTAACACTGAAGACTCTGTCATTGTGTGTTTTCTACTTATAGGCTTGAAGAACAAATGTTAATGTCTAGGGTTCTATCTTTCAGAAAATGTAAATTGTTTTTGATAGGTACTTGTAATTATCATATGTCAATCTGCAAAGTTGGTTTGAAAAATTTGACCTTGTGGCTTATTCAGATTCCATGAACTGAAAGCTGACAGGATACGTGCACATGATCTTTAATAATCAAGGAAGCAAAGCACTTTGAGCACTGACTTGGATGAAGAGTAAGATTAAAAATTGTTACAGAGTTCCGCCTGAGTTATTAGCTGTCAGAACGCTGTAAACATGACTAACGGATAATGGAATTAGGTTAGCTGAGCAGAAATCATTTAGATGAGCTAAACATTTCTTCCCCATCATTAAATATATCCTAGAAGAGAATAACATCTCTGTGTATGGTTTTAGGAAATAGAATGGGCCGACATAGTGATAGAAAAAACAATGCCTGAAGAAGACAAGCAACAAAGCTTAGGGTTTTCACCAAAAATGTAATGGTAAATACAGCTCCCTGGTGATTTTGTGTTTTCCAGGAATTAATATAATTTCACATTCATCTCTGAGTTCCTCATGCCATCTGTGAAGCTTAAACCTGAAATGCCTAGTATTAGATCTGTCTTATTACAAGATGATCTATTTGCGTAAACTTGCGCTGACATTTCAGCTCTGGCATAGTTCTGTGTTAACCTGTTGTAAATTTTCTTGCCAAGTGCCAACAATTCCTTCTGGTGTCATTTTCTTCTTCTTTTCTCCCTTATAAACAAACATATGCACATGTTTTACATTTATAGTCCATGCTATTTATTTTATTACCTGTTTTATATAGCATATAATACAACTGTATTGGGTCAATTTGGAACTTTAGTGATATGCCTGCAGTATGTTTTTAAATAATAATTTGATTAATTACAGTCATATTGTGTATTGCTTTATGGGTCCCTTCAACAGTCATGCAATTTTAAACCTTCCATATTGGGCACTTTTACCCCTTCCTGCCCAGCCATTTTTCAGGTTTCAGCGCTCTCACACGTTGAATGACAATTGCACGGTCATACAACATTGTACCCAAACTAAAATTTTATCATTTTCTTCACACAAGTATCGCTTTCTTTTGGTGGTATTTAATCACCGTCGGGGTTTTTATTTTTTGCTAAATTAACAAAAAAAGACTGAGAATTTTGAAAAAAAAAAAAAACAAGTTTTTCTTTGTTTCTGTTATAAGAGTTTGCAAATAAATAATTGTTCTTCATAAATTTAGGCCAAGATGTATTCTGCTACATGTCTTTGGTGAAAATAACCCAAATTAGGATGTATTTTTTCGTTTGTAGGAAAGTTATAGAGTTCACAAACTATGGTATAGATCTGAATATTGATCAATCCTGAAGTACTGACAGCCAATCTAATTTCTTGAGGTCCAAGAATGTCAGAACAGTACAGATACCCCCCAAATGACCCCTTTTTGCAAAGTAGACAGTCCGACGTACTTCATAAGAGGCATGGCGAGTTTTTTTAAGTTGTATTTTTTTTGTCATAGTTTTTCAGAAATTGAAAAAATAAAAAAAATTATTTTCACTATTTTTTTTTACATACTGTCACCAGTGCAGTACAGCATCATCATATAACTGGCATGGCGGTGATCAGGGACACTGACTGGTGACAGTATGAAAAAAAAAAATATATATATTTATTTTTTTATTATTTTACATTTTTTATTACATCTTTTTTCTTTTTTTTAAGATTTCTTTTTCATATTTCACTATGGCCAAAGTAGTACAATGTTACCATAGTAACATTGTACTACTTTGGGGAAGTGATCAGTATTTTTTTTTTTTTTTTTACACAATTTGCTTATAGAAAAGAATTACTTTGCTATAAGCAAGCATTTACCTGAAGGACATCGATTCATTCAGGGTTTTTTTTTTGTGTGCTTAGCTGTGATTTGGCCACAGCTAATCACATGAAATGTGCATGTGATCGCTTTGACCATTCACAGCTAGACACTAGTATACAATCGATGGGACGAAAGAAGCCATCCATTGTATACAACTGTCATGTGACCTGCTGTGATTGGTCACAGCAGGTCACATGGTACCGGCAACGGGGGCCGGTACTCAGATCTGTCATCGGCCGTGTCCGAGGTACACGGCCGGTGACAGATTGCGCCACTGCGCGGCTCTGCAAGCGCGCAAACTGCGCATGCCCGGGAGTACGCCATATTGCGTCCACCTGGAAATCTAATGCATTTTTCCGGCCGCCAAACAGCTATTGGCCGGGCGGCTAATGGATAACATAAACATTCTAGGGTCAGATTAGGTAATAGACTACCAATACCTTTTCATTGGGGGAAAAAGGAAACAATTCACCAAAAGGAATGTATCTGACTAAAGTGAGTACAAAACTCATGTAGAAAATAGTACTGGTGATAAATCCAGGTCCTTGACCTTGCAAAGCAATAGTGCTAAACCACATTTTTCATGCAGAAAGTGCTCCATATGTTCCTGACAATGCTCTATATAAAATGAACCTATCATGATTGGTATATGGGAGATGTAACCATCTTTAAAGGTGCAAGCTCTGCTTCTACATAGCATGTCATTGACCTGAGCAAGAATAGCACCAATATCGCTGGTAGCTTCCTTATTCCAACTTTTAGGTCATTGACTTACTAAGTAGTGATTCAGGATAAGGTTGACATCTTTGGAATTGTACCTTCAAAAAAGCACCACTGGCATATCCCATATTACTGTAAAAGTAATTCTGGTACATAACACACAGAAGGACACATGGAATTCTGTTAATGAATAGTTTTAGCAACCTGCTTGCTGCCAAATAAAAAAGTTTGCCATTTATATGGCAACTTGAAGATATGCAGTAGATGATTTTGCAAAAGTTCTCACTAGACACTCAGTCTTGCCAACCACCCCAACTTTTAGGATCCACAACAAATGGTTGACTTTCTGATTATAGGAAGAAACACATCCATACAAATGACCTTATATTCTTGTACTTGCTAATCTAGAGGGCCCAGCACTATCCTTATTCTCCTTGTTGTTCACCCTACCCATGTCCTAAGCACTTGTGATCAACCCATTCTCATCTAGACATGAGCATTGCATTAAAGTGGTTATGAAGGCAAAAAATAGTTTTTTTACCTCAATTCATTATCTGCATTAATGTAGAACACCTTTTTTAAAGTTGGTCCCCCCAGCCCTCCCATAAACACTTACCTGAGCCCAATCTCAATACAGCACTATGCCCATCTGCAGCAGCTCTTCTCTTCATTCTCTAATCTCACAGGAGACTCAGCAGCAAGAGGAGCAATTGAATCAGGCTGCGGTCAGTCAAATCCTGTGAGGAGGGAGTGTGGGGCAGGGCTAAGACATGCTGTGTGTGTCTATAGCTGCACACAGCCTGGATTGGGATTGAGCCCACATGATTACCTTATAGCAAGTGGCTTGCAATGGGGGTACTGGGGAAGAGAGGGACCCAAGATCACCAGTGGGGCACCCCAGAACAGGAGGTTCAGGGATGCTCCATGCAAAACATTTAAGCAGATAAGTATAACATGTTTGGTATTTTGAGAAAAAAAGAATATCTTTAATCTTTTCTGAAATACAGTACATAGCGATGGTGCTTGTCTTTGTGATTTCTTTTGCCTTCTATGTGATCTTCCAGAAGGCAGATCTTTGTTGTCAACTTGTTGCATTTGTCTTTAAATACTCAATTGATAAAATTATAAGTCCAAATTTGAAGTGTATTTTGATTCCCTGCCCTGGAGTAGTGATCTGTTTCTTGGGTCTGGTTAGGTTTCCCTAAGCTGGTGATTGATAACTCCTGCCTGCCTTTAGAAGAAGCTTTCAAATAATAGAGTAGGAGGAACAGCCACTGAAGTTATGAAAATGTATCTGACTTCAGCAAATCTATGGGAGGGGCAACCAGAAGGAGGCTGAGGCAGCTGATAAAGGTTTGGGAGGTCTGATCAGAGTGTTTTTCTTGTCTTGGGGTTGCTGCCCCAGGGATATAGCCTGTCCATTGGAATTGCTGTCTTGTGCCTCACCATGTGCAGGCTGAGGGCTTAGAAAAGATTTGACTAAAGAAGTGGAGATCTTCATCAAGAAATACTGGTCTAGAGAAGGATCCTTTTTCCCCCCTCACTGAAGAGTTTCATTTGGAGGCTGAGGGTCATCAGCTGTCCTGAGACATTGTGAGTAAGACCTAGTTTTGGGACTCTCAGGTGTGCATGTGCTAGAGGGAATTGTGTGCGAGTGGTTACTCAATGGACTGGGTCTGTTCTTACAGAGACCTAGAATTACTAACCATTCCCTGTTACTGCCTGTCAATGCTGTTTCAAGAGGATTTTGTAAGAAATTCGTACTCCTGTTGATTTCTGATATAATTTTGGAATATCTTGAACCCTTAAAGTGATTCTAAAGGCTCAAGGCTCTTTCTCTGTGCAGCATCCCCTCCAGCCTCACTAATACTCACCTAAGCCCCCTCT